TGTCTATTTCGACTTCAACTCATTATATATAATGTGAAACTATTAATTTAAATTAATTTATTTCTTAAGTAAAAATCAAAATATAATTTAAAAATATTTTTAACAATTTGAAATTATTTTGTAATATTACTGAAATTTATATTAGTTGTAAGTGCTATATTTAGTCAATAAGAACAAACAAAGAATGGTCTTAAAAAAAATATGAAGACAAAATTGTTAATTATCACATGCAATTATTTTTGTAAAATATTTCAATTTAATTTTAATGTGCACATTTCTCAACATCCCCACTAAAGAAATTTCGCCCAAATTAAAGAAATTTCGAATAAGCAAGATTAACTTATAAATAAAGGTTTTGTACACATTTTTCATGTATTTTTTGTCATGACTTTTGTATTTTATTATTTGAAAAATATATTTCAAATTTTCAATATATTTGACATAATTCATTATGTAATATACTTCTTTTGTCTAGTTAATGAAAAAAAATACAAAAAATAAAATAGACCAACAAAATATAAAAAAGAAAATATGATTTAAAATTACATGAATATATAAATCATAGATCATGTCGCACTTTCACTTTATTAATATAACGAAAACTAACATAGACTTTTTCTTTTTTCCAGAAATCAAGAGTGACCCCGTCTTTTACATTCATAAAACCTTGAAAGGAAAACCAACCGGTGGTTAGCTAGTAGACTAGAAAAACAACTAAAGCAAAATCTTAAAATCAGCAATATATCATGATAAATCAGAAGGAAGATATCATCATCAGATAATCTTGGCCCTCTAAGTTCTGGGTCATTTACTCGTATACTACAAGATTCAATAAAAATTGCAACTTTACCATCCATTAAAATTAATTGCATGCTTACCTAAAACATTAGATTTAATTAGATTGATTCCTACTGTCAGTTACCATAATATCCAACGTCCCCCATTAATTTGTGTTTAATTAATATTCAAACGTCCCCTTAATTTGCGCTTGATTACTGTTTCACCTTATTAAAAAAAACCCAAAATTAACGTCTAAAAATCTGAAAAATATACACTCAGAAAGTTTATTGTGAATTTGAATCCAAAAACAGGTTGATCGAAAATTTTAAAAAATGTATATGTTTAGTTTATATAATGTATATATTACACATGTGAACTGTATATGTCTAGTTTATTTAACGTATAAATTATTATACATAATGTTTACACATACAAAACTGTATATCTTTAGTTCATATAACGTTTATATTATCATCCACTAAAATTAGTTGCGTGCTTTTAAGGATGAGGACGGAGAAATCTTCCAAGAAATATGCGGAGGAGGATAAGGATGAGGATGGAGCTTCTAAAGAGGCTAAAATCTCTGAATCTGCTCCCTTCAAGGAGGAAACCAACAAAGCCGACGAGTTAATCGACCCGGAGAAAAAGGCACTGGACGAATTCAAAATTCAAGGTTCTGATCCAGGAGGCGCTCAACAAGCGTGAGTTCTTTGCCCCGCCGCCGGCCACCGTTTGCACCAATAATTTATTCTCCGCTTCTACTACGAAATTTCTTCGAGCCACTACGCTTGGATTTAGATTGAAATCGAAGATTCCTTTCGACAAGTTTGCGTTCTACCTTAGCTAGGTTTAATGTTGCAGATCCACGAACTCGATCTCGGCTATGACTGCTTCCGACGACGACGGGATCGTCGTTTTTTGCCAGAGACAGAAGAGAATTGAACGATGAAAGAGAGAGAGAGAGTTTGGAGAGAGATAACCGAAAAAAGAGGTAGGATTTCATAAAGGATATCCCACGTTTAATAAAAAGGCAGTTACCAAACAATTAAATATTGAAAAATCACGTGTATAAGAAAATATCTTGTGCATATCCTTCAAATGTGCTAATAAAAATAAATCATGGTAGATATGCAAATACTTTTGAATTAGTTCGGGCCAGGCATAATTTCCTCCTAAGTTCTGGTAAAAGCAAAATCACTAGTAAAGCAAACAATAAACATGGCATTTTCCAAAAATCAAGGGAAGGCAAAACACCTAGGTATCAACAGTCCAGTTAGTAAAATAGTAATCACTAATAAAGCAAACAATAGACATGGGATTTTCTAGAAATCAAGAGACAGGCCTTTTAAGACATAAGAAAATCTTCAATGTCATCATGATAAATCACTAAGGGATTATCATCAGATAATCTTGGTCCTCTAAAATCTGGCAGTCCAATAAACTTGATAGAAGTCTTTTTTTTTACATCAGCTTAGGTGTCTCAATTACCATGAATTCAGAACATTCCTTATCATCCCAGCTCATATATGGGGCCTTTGGTGACTGAGGGGATCTGCACACAGGTGAACAGCATTGAAGAACTTCCTCATCTTTGAATGGCATTTCAATTTCCGAATGCTCGGTGTTATTCCTCTCAGGCTGAAAACAACACACAAACACAGTTAATGCTCACCTCACTGTATGCACCTTCCCAAGTTCAAATATTTGGGTGAAATGCAATTTCAAGTCAATACGATGTCTCTTAGTGACAGGATTTGTCCCTTTATATTTTGAACCAAAAAATAAAAAATAAAAAATCATGGGTCAAAACCAATTTTCCAGACAATTACACGGAAAATGATAATTTTTACAGTGGAATGCAGCAAGCTCACCGATATCGTTTATGCAA